TTCCCAGAAAGCAAAGCCTGTCCCATAAATGTCTCACAGGAAGGCACAGGCGGCTTCCAACGCGTTGTTGTCGTGAACCATCGCCTTTAGGCCATACGTGCCTACCAGATGTACACCATCCGCATGGTACAATACACCCTACGTAGATATGATAGACCGTACAGATATGATGCAAGGTACATACATCGCATTTCTGTCTTATTCCGCTCTTCAGGAAAGCTCTTACCGACTCCACAAAAAAATTATCTTAGTCTGACTGCAGAAGAATAGTAAAACTATACTTGACCCAATGGGGGAAAGACTCTTACGCTTGCTCACTTGTTCCCTATTTCTACCCTGCTATCTGCTGCATACACATTGACATGTACACGCGTCTGTGCGTACACGTGCCTACAAGCACACGTATATCTTGTACAGGGTGTCCCATTTCAGCGTCGAGATGTAATTTATAACAGTTTTCGTTCTTACGAGAAACGTGTGCTAATCCTCACTGTGGTTATAAAACACCAGCTCGCAGAGCATTCATCAATTATTCCTGATCTGTTCAAACAGATTGTTCATGTAACAGCACAGCCAAAGTCTTCTTTCTAAGGGCTTATCATTCGGCGTTCTCTAGTTTCTGGTAGCACGCTAACCTTCGGAAATAGTAAAATATTCCTCAGAGTAGCAGTTAAAAATGCCAAGAAGGAATCGAGAGAAAAATGACTTAGCATTTCACTTCGAGTCTTTCAGTGAAGAAGCCAACAATTTCAGCTCTTCCCAAGCCTGAATGCTGCTGTCGGTCACACCAGTTCACTCCTCTCTGTGACAAATTCAGCTAAGATGATACCGTATAGAGACTCAGTAGGTACTGGAACCACTGGAAAGCAATATTTGACTTAAAAACCTATGCCTGTCCTTCAGAAGAAAGATGGCACAAAGTTTCCTGTGGCATGAAGTTTCATAAATTAGAGAACACAAATTCCTGGTGTTCTGAGGTGAGCTGGAGTTTCATCCTCGCAGTCCCCTTTGCAGATGACCGTTCCCAGAACTTCACATAAAGTAACGAGGCCTCAATACGAAGCTCCCTGAAGTCACTGGGTATCTTTCCATTTGCTTATTTGGACCAGACCTACGGATTAAGACTGCAGTGCATTTTTAAAAACTGGAAACTGGTTACACAAACTGACAACCTGACATTGGATCAGATTTTGTTTTAAAGAGCTGGAATAATTTAATTACATCTTCATGCCTCTGCCAATTTTTATGGTTTTATTACTATGTATTTGCCATTGTTCCTGTCACTGGCTGTGAGACCCACCCTGGCAGAAGAAAATGACTAATAAATTGAGTTCCCCAGGGAAAGAATAAAACTGATTATATGACAAACTGCTATCTAATGCAAAACTTTCCAAATACACAGTTTTCTGAAATCAGTGGCAATATTCTCATTACTTTCACTGGTATGTGGATCTCACTAAAAGAAATTAAGCAGAAACTGAGAGAAAAGTTACCAGTATTTCTGGTAATTTCATTTACTGAGATCTTAGTCATTACTTCTGCCAGCAGTGGGTAAGAAACTTTGCTCCCCCAAAAGAAAACAAATGAACAAAGAAGAGGTCACAACCTCAAAGGCCACCATCTGCCTTCATTAAGCGGTTTTTCCTTGATGCCGATGGGAGCTTTCAGAAGGATAACATTTCGGTAGATGCCAAGACATTAGATTAGCATAATCGGGACATTCTTGTTGAAGAGAACGTCTTGTTTGAGAGCAGTAGCATAGCTGCCATATCTTCTTCTTTCACGGTCTTGTAAAGTTTTAATAAGACATATTCCTCAAACCATGGGTTCCACATTACTTAGAAGAACAGGCTGCTAGTGCACAAGCACCAGCTTTCACTGAGTTTCGAGGTGTCACTGCAAATGCCAATGCCGTTAGCAACAAAACTGATAAAGCCTCACTGCCACTGTGGCATGTGTAATTTACACTTGGTGCATTATATTGTAAATAATTGTCTTGTCACCTTTAAGGTCCGTATTGTCATCATAATAATGAAAAGGGAAGTGCTGGATAAGTTTTAGTATTATTTATTTGAATTTGAGAACAACAGAAAT